GGGGGAGGGGGTTGTTTGGAAGTAGTCCGAGTGAAGTTTCATTACAGTTGAATTTTCCGTGATTAATTCCTTCAGCAGTGGGTAGTGGTTCGATTTTCAGGCCACGAACTGAATCATTGTCCGAGGAGCTTACATTGAATCCTGTGGACAGGAAAGCTCCTCCGAACGATGACAATCATTCACAGACGATTCAAATTGATACTGATTCGGCGCATTCATCATCAGCAGAAGATATTTCGCATTATCATGGTATTTTTTTTATCACGAAATAGCGTGATCCTGTGCAGCCGATTTCCTTTCCGAAACTGTCTTACCGGTTCCTTATTCAGATGAAAGCTCATCGTTGACATCGATAGCAGCTAGCAGTACTTCTCATGAGCATTTCTCCAAAGAGGGCGCATTTGCAAGCAATGGAATGAAGAAATGCGATATTGTACGGCGAAATATGAACACAACTTTGGCAGAGACGAGAAGGTTAAGCCAGGACAGGTATTTATTTGTGCATTTTCTGCTTGAATTCAGTCGAACAAACTATATTTGTGGTTGTAAAGCATACTGGAAGAAAATAGGAAAGGCTGTAGCGAGATGACCCACATTCCTTCTGCTTTTGCCGTGCTAGATGTCTGGAGAGATAACCGGAAAAGTGAATGATTAAAATTTCTCCGTTAAACATTTTCTTCAGGAAGAAAGTCCTAGAACTACCTGGTTTTGAAAAAGTTTTTTCTTCCAATTTTATAAGTTTCCATATAATTTTTGGCTTCGAGATAAATAGTGAATCAACTATTTTTTTTTTTTTTCTTTCATCATGTCTAGAAATCAGTTTGTTAAACGTATTGAACTAAAAATTAAAAAAACAAGTGAATTTCTGCTTTTGAATTGTCTGCATGCTGAAAAATTGACTTAGTTTGGATAAAACTTTCTTACTTCCTAGTTAACGAACATGTTAGAAGGGACAGGAAAAGATGGGAGGAGGAGAGGGGGAGGGAGAGCAGAGGGGGAAAAGAGAGGGCAGTGAGTGAAGCAATAGCTCATTTCAAGCAATGTTTTTGGAGTAGGCCAAGTTTCAGATCTCAAATGGGTAAAAACAGTGACTGCGTTAATGATGCATCTACACGAATGCGAGCAACGCGTGTGGATGCGGAAGATGTAATTGATCGCATGCTAGCCGAAACAGTGATCTATGATAATGGTTCGGACGACCGATCCGCCGATCGAGGTAAGAGAGAGTTCGTTTTATCAAAAATAGTGCATCAAATGAGATGTATGTACGATATTTATGATGGGGCTGTTGGTTGGAACATGCATCTTTGCGGTAAATTACTTCTTGCGATTAATTCGAGAAGTAACTTACCGCAAAGACGCATGTTCCAACCAACCCCTCAGATCTTCATATATCTGAGGGGAAGACGCGGATGCTATAGCATACATTGCCACGGTGCTATTGTGCTACGGCAAGATTGCCCAGCGAAGGGCCCTGGCTGCCATTCGCGGACGTAGAAAGGCCTCCGGTCGTAAAACTGGAGGTGGCCTGTATAAGGACCAACAACAGGAAGCAAAAGTGACGCGCATGAATGAAGTTGGTGTGTATTGTCTTGATGGCTGTTACTGGTTTATTCGACAAGTCATCTAAAGTATTGAACTTCCGGTCTTTTTGCTGGCTTAGTTATGGGATTATTTTTGCCATTTTACAGTTAGAAATAAAAGACCAACAGCATTGTACGCAGGCCATGTATGTGATGTTTGATGGTGCAAATTGCCTTTATCTTTTAGATGTAGTGGGATGATACTTTTCGATGCAGTTTTCATCCTTTAGCTGTAAACACAGACCGGACTATGCATGCGCGTAGGGGTGGGAATCGTCAGTACAGCCTCCTACCCGCCAGGTATTGAAAAGACATGTGGCTAATTTGCTAGAAGGATGAGTGAAGGAAAAAGATAAAGAGAGTAAGAAGGAGGGAAAATATTTAATATCATGAAAGAAATAGGAGTGATAGAGCAGGTGGAAGAGGAGGAAACTAACATATAAGGATAGCAATTTTATGAAGTTACTTGAACTTGCAGCTCAGGACATAGTTCTTTTCGAAATTGACAGCAACGGGGTCGTCAGACTTAGAATGTCATTTGGTTGTCACTGCGGGATTGCAGTGCTGATTCAGATTTTTAGGCTATAACTGATAATACCGGGGATGACTGCATCACCGTAGCCATGTGCCAGGAGTGAGGAAGTTGATTTCTTATTCGTTCAGCTGTTGCATGATGGATCAAAAGTGCCGAATTTCGGGATCGGTCTTTTCTGACATTGTATGGGAATATAAATTTCGATTTGAAGTTTTAGTTTTTGGGGAGGGAATTTAAAATTCTTGCGCTTTGCTTATGGTCAGGCATTTTGCTTTGTAAGCCTTTGACTTTAGCAGGTTTTGTTTTGAGTTTTCAAAGCGGACGCAGTTATACGTACAGACATGAATTCCTTATGGTGTTGTTTTTCTGTTCACTGGCATTTAAAAATTGAAATTAAATTGACGATTATGCAAAAGATGTGTATGTGTGCGTGTGCGTGTGTGTGTGCACGCGTGTGTGTGTGTGTGTGTTTGTGTCTATGTATGGAAGCGTAAAGCAGTAAATGAAAATTTACGAAAAAAGAAATCTGTGAAAATTTCAGGACTTGCGCTGTTTGTGTCAAAAGATGGTGCAGCAGTGGTTGGCGCAAATTCGTTGCTGTCCACGGATTCTTTTGAGCGTGTACATATTTCTGATGCAGGTTCACCACTATCGACTAGTTGAAATCATTTGTCAACGCATCCATCCAAACAGTGATTGCAACTTTCACGGGTTCTTTTGTGTGTTTCAGCGTTGTCAGAATGATTCTATGCAATCTTTCATTTTTTTCACCCTTTTCGTGTTGCGTATCGAAAGATCCGCATCTGGTTTGACAAGTGAATTGGGGTGGAAATAAGTCTTGAGAGATGGAATTCGCATGTGAGATTTTCGAGCTTCTGGGCTCAATCCGGATGAGTGTGTCACCTCTTAAATTCTTTGTGATATTTTCACTCGCTGTGGTATTCTTCACTAAACAGCCGGAGAAATTCATGACAATACCAGAAATATCAGAACCACTCGGACTGTCAGCATAGGATTTCCCTGTTATTGCTGCTGTGAGGATGCTCCTACACTCCGAGCACAGCTGTACCGGACCGTTGGACCCTGAATTTTTGAAGATATTACAAGTAAAACCCCGAAGGGATAGGTAGTATTTGGGCAAACTTGTTGACTCGAAATATTAAATAATTGGATTCATTAGTTTGGACTAATTTATATTTGTGTAAGAGAAATCATGGTGCATTTCCTTGATTTTTTATTCTGCTGAAAATCTTGATTCTTTCAAGCAGGTTTAAATAAGGAAAGTCCCGTAGTCATCATTAAGATACCTGGAAAGAATATTTGTCCCTTCCTTTCCCCCTCTCCTCTGCCGTTACCTTCGCATCAGTCATTGGTTATAAGGTCAGTATTGTTGAGACAACCGATCCAGATTCGGTTTCGTTTTCATTTGTTTCTGCTGGTTTTTGAGGTCACTGTTTAGCCTAGCATGCTAGCTCATTTCAATTTTGTTGGTTCTAATAAAAAAAAAAGATAACTTTTTCGCAGTACTTACATGCTTTGGTTGCGATGCGACTACATGGAGAGTGCTACTGCCTCTACTTTGCGTAAAAAGCTGCCAATACGTCTCGCTCAGTAACGCTGTTTCTGCGTTGCGTGGGCAGCAGAAAACACACTTTTCTGTTTCTACGGGTACTTCGCATCATACAATACATAACTTCTGCTTTGTTTCGTACGAAAAAAAGGTAACTGATTGCACATTAGCTGCCCAGTTCACGCAAAGCTTTCCAGAAGTGACTCAAAGCACGGGAGCTAGACGCACATGAATCGAATCATATACCTCAAATTTGAGTTGTCTGGCTGATCTGAAAACTGTCAGAACGATATTATAGCGCAGCAAATGTGAAGGAAGGGATTACTGACTGAAAGGGAACTAACACTTTGGCTGGAGGTAGGTAGTGGAATTAAGCGCAGCTCAAGGGGGAGGGAGGGGAAGGAATTTTATGGGGGTTTCTATGCTTAGCGTGGCACTTAGTGCTGAAGGTAAACTAACAGTCCTGAAAGCGACACCTAAAAATTCAGCTAGACAGAAAAAGCCACGCACTACGACTTCAGCTATACGAATTCTGACACAGAAGTGAGTATTTGAGGAACTTGTTCGAAAGGTAAACTTTCCAAATTTTTTTTCCCTCCGTCTTGAGCCCTCATGATTTTCAATACTGATGTCACATTTTGCAGAAGGCGATTCCAGGTTTTGTATTGAAACCTGTCCTCATTGATAACTGCTGAAGGAGTCTGTTGTCTGGTGGCGAAGATCACATGTGCGAAAAGGTGGTACATCATTCGAGTCGGGTTACGTAGAGTATTTACACGTTTTCATGCGTTTTTACATATTTGCAAAAACACATATTGTGACGACCCCGGTGTGTGCGTGTATGTGTGTGTGCGCCTGTCCGGGTATTTCAACTCGGCACCCAAGCAAGCCCCGGCGCCAAAATTTTGCGAGTGAGTTCCCCGGCCAAGTGCCACCGAGGATCGCGGAACTAATCCTCAAGCACGTCTAGGCCCCGCGTACGAGCGCCTGAAAGTTTTGGCGGGAAAATCGCTAACTTAGGGACCAGAAAAGCTAGAAAGCTGGAATTTTGGGATTATGTTCCCTGTCCATATAGAACTCAAAGATTTTAAATTCAGCCTCCAGGTGTGC